CATTTTTTTGTTATGGGGTAAGATTTTAGTTCACCAAAAAGGTTTATATGCAACATTTATCCGGTAAGCACTAACCGTGGTAAAAGTCGTCGTCCTCACTTACCGGGCAAGACTCGCGTCCTTGTCTTCGCTCTTATCGAATAAAATTCTTGGTTTTTACCATTTACATCTAATAAGATAATGTGACTTGGTAAGTACTTACACTTGTAAATGGACTCTCAAAGTCACATAAGTTTGAATCAAAGAAAATTCTTTATATTTCTTATACTTCTTTAAAAAATGATTAAAACAGAAATTGAATATATATATATATATATATATATATATATATATATGAGCGATCAAATGAAAACCATCTTCATTTGTACAAACCGATAAACCACCCTCATACGTAGATTTCATTGTTTAATCTTATGAAATTATTTCATGAAATTGTTTAATCTTGTGAAATTGTTTCATATAATATTTAATGAAATTTTAATGAAACTGTTTCATGTATTTCTCTAAAATTAAAATAATGAAGACGATAATATCCATGATTAACACCCTCCACAATAAAAATGGTTAATCAACCTCTAATAATTACAAAAAAATGAACAAAATGAAAAATTATGAAAAAAAAAAGAACTCAATAACTTGTAATAATCGTGAGATCCGATGTGAGTCAATCATTTATAATAATTAGTATTACTGATTTATTTCTTAAAATAAATTAAAAACTTAAATTAGTGATTTGCATTTTGTAAATTATTTAATAACACTGTATCTCTCTCTCTCTCTTGATTGTTCCGCATTATGTACCGATTGTTTGTGTAAAATCAACTCGAGATGGGCTACGTATGATAAAGTGTATCACAATGTATATTTTTCGAAGTGTATCAGGTAGCATTGTTTCACGAATTAATGTATAATAATATGTATTTTCTATATTTTATTAAGGGTATCATAATATGCATTTTTGTTAATTTCATTGTTTTGTAAAGGGTATCACAGTGTGCATTTTTGTTATTTTATTTGCTTTGTGAAGGGTATCACAGTATGCATTTTCGTTATTTTCTTTGCTTTACAAACGAGTATCAGAATATGCATCTTGTATATATCTTGGGTATCACATTATGTATCGTGTTTTCACATGGTGTTCGCCGAAACAGTGTTCGCCAAAGAGAGGAGAGATAAAATTTCTAAAATATATAAAAATGCCCTTTAATTGAACTTTTAAGTCAAAAATACCAACATTATTGATTTTCTTATTTATCTTTTGATTGTGGTTGAGATTGAATCTCACGATTATCAGAAATTACTAACTTCCCCCTTAAAATGACCCGTCTATATATACTAAAAATCTTAAAGAACATTTGTAAATGAATAAATATTAGCATTGAAGGGAATTATTGACTTCAAACTTCAACCTTTTTACCTCTTAGGAGGTGTTTGAGATTACTTATAAAAATAACTTATTGACTTATTCTGGTGTGACACCGGTAATAAGCATTTTTGATTGTTTGGATAAACAACTTATACCGGTAATAAGAAGCTTTTGAAGAAGTTAAATCATTCTAACTTATAATAAGTTGATAAAGATTTTTATAGAATAACATAAGTTGTTTCAAATAAGCAAAATCCTAAATACCCCCTTATTTTTCTTGTAATTATAGTGTTTGATTTTTGGTTGATAAAATTTATGATATTTGAAGTTATTATTGCATATACTAGGGGCATTTTCAATGATTTATACCAAGTCCGACACTAACATAAAAAATAGTGTAAAGTTTGATTCAAATAACACGAGTATGTCTGTTTACCTCTTAATAATACCATTAAGAGGTGGTATAGCTCTGGATCATCAGACAAAAAGTTGTTCCCTCACGGATCCATCTCCAGTACGATTCAGACTCTCCTTTTTCCCATGTTACCCTCGTCTTTCTCCATTCTCGCCTCTTCATTTTCTGGATCCCCCCTTCCTCTCGTTTCCATCCTCGATTCTTTAATCACTCTTGATTTTGGCAGTCGCTTCTCTTCATACGAACGACCAATGATAGTAACCTCTGCAACTTTGTCTTTGCCGATTCAAGGAGGTAACACCAAATCTTACACCAAAACGTAAGATTCGAAGTATATTCATTTTCTAATTAGTGTAAAATTTGGCGTAAATAGTATTTCACTAAATTTAACGTGTTAATATCCATTACACCAAATTTCGTGTAGGGTTTAATGTTCCTATTAGAATGATTTAGTGTCAAATTTGGTATTTACACTACAATAAATTGGCTTTATAGGATTAAACTATAAGCGTCTTAATAAAATACTTAACAAAACTTAGGTTTATAGGACCAAACTATAAAACGCTTTATCTAAAAGAGTTACAATAAGTTTATAGAACGCTTTTAGGCGTTTTAACAAGTATTTTAGAACGTTTTAAAATAAATTGTCCTATTAGCTATTTTATTAAACGTTTTTTAAAATTGTCCTATAAACCCATTTTTTTATAAAACACTTTTCAAATAGTGTCATATAAAATTTGTTAATACGACACTTTTATTTTAAAGTATCCTAATTTTTTTATTGAAACGTTTAAAAACGTCCTATAAAACTATTGTAACACGTCTAGATAGGACGTTTTTTGGTTTAGTCCTGTAGACTTTAATCATATAAAGTATTTTTTAAGACATTTTTATATTTTAGACATCTTATAAAATCAATTTGTTGTAGAGTTAAATGTCTGTCACCATTAAAAATGGTCTTATTTATTTAAGTTTGGTCACCTTGTTATGCACTCAGCACTTGTTTGCTATCGGGTGTCAAAGACGCAAGAGCTGTACAGGAAATCCACTGATAAAAGAACAATAAGCCGAACAAGGACTTTTTCTATTTTATTATAATAATAATTATTACTATTACAATTATTATTATTATTATTATTATTATTATTATTATTATTATATTAACTTGTGTTTGGGATTTTTTTTTATTAACCTGAATATTCAATCCGCTATGTGAGCCGACTAATCTTAGGAAGACCATCTGCTTTACAGGTAGTCCGGAGTCATTGTATTTGAACCTTTGTGGCCACAAGAAGATTTTTATTCCTTCGTGGATTTGAACCTGAGATCTCCAAGCACTTTTGACCTTTGAAGCCAAACTCAAACCAATCAAGTACCACTCTTGTGGTTGTTTTGTTTTTTTATTTGAAAACTAGGGTTTTGCATCATGTATTGCATCTTTAATTAAGACATCAAATTTTCTGTAAAATGTAATTTTTTTTCCTTATTTAGATATCTAATGAGCACATTATTATTGATAGTAAAGTTGTATGATAAATAAGTAGAGGTTGATTTATACAAGAATGATATCTATTTAAGAAAATGATCTAATTACGTATAAAAATATATATGATTTTATATTAACGGCCAAAAAAATGTAGGAACAACCCTATAGCGCATGGCAAGATACTATGAATCACATGTGATTTTGTGCGTGATGTTAATGTAAAATCACACATGATTCGGTCATTCTTTTATTTTCTTAAATAAATAACATTCTCGTATGAACCCTACTCTAAATAAGTAACATATCGAATTTGGTGTACCTTATATGTTTATACTATATTTTTTGTTGAAGTTTTAAAGTTACAAATTGGTCTTGGAAAGTTTGAGATTTATGTATTTTTACATTATTATGTTGTATAAGTCATTTTAATTTAATTTGTTATATATATATATATATATTTTAGAAAAAAAAGCCCAATAAACTTTTATATTTTTGAATGATTAAGTCCTTAAACAATAATTTTGATAAAAATAAGACATTGAACTTTCTAAAATGAGTTGAATAAAACCCTGGACTTTTTCAAACATGTTATATACATCCTTATAATGAATAAATCCTTACATTTATAAAACCAAATGAATATACCATTTTCATCATTCTTTCCAAAACTTAAAAAAGTGGTACTTAAAGCATAAATACATAAATATAAATATACCAAAAGTTGTGATAAAATATATAAAAGTTATGCCAAAACTATTCATATAAGGAGCCGTTTACGAAACACTTACCAGGGTAATTATTATCAAGTCACATTACTTTACCGAATGAGTATGACAAATACCAAGAATCTTACTCGGTAAGAGCAAGGCAAGGATCGAGAGTTTTACTAGGTAAGTGAGATCGACGACTCTTACCATGGTTAGCGCTTACCGGATAATTGTTGGATAAGATGTCATTTTTGTTGACTAAAATCTTACTCGGCAAATAAGTGATGGAGTTGAATTTTACTGGTAGACACTTACCGGATAAGTGTTTGGTAAACGGCTTCTAACAAAACTATTCATATAACCTTTCCCATCAAGCAGCCATTTCTCAAAATCAGTCGAAATTTGAAAAAGTCATAATTTTGTTTAGGAAACCATTTTCAAGAAGAAAAACGGTACTGTTATAGATGTTTTGATCCTAAATTTAGACTGGTGCAGCTATGCTCAACTACGCTTGTGTTTGATCTGCCAACACATACAAAGCGCAATAATCCTTAACAATGGTTGACCAAATGGCGGCTAATATTAGTCCCGAAAATGAGTTATATGGATTCAGACAATACGAAGCTCATACCAGCAAAGACAAAGCTTTGGGTGAGTTCTATTCAGCCATCAAAGTTTTATTTGGCTATCATGACCTTTGATGATTAACAAGGATGGCTGGTGTTGCAGTTGAGAACAACGAAACCCATCGAGTTATTGACTTTTGTATTCTCATCTTCAAAGGATGTAGTTGACCTTTGAATCATGTAAGGTCTTGGTTCATTTTGACCAACAAAATGAGACCATGTATGAATCTAGTTTAAAGATGACGATGCACAGAAAGTGAGTGATTTAACCATGTTTATTTTCATACGAAAAGAGTTTTGTGCTTCAAGTATATGTAGCGGTCAACTTGGGAATTGGTGGGATACAAAGATACTTGCTATCAGAGAGTGGGTGATCAGTTCAAACAATGAGATGATGGTGTCAAATGAAATGAAGCAATTTGAATTTGATTTGAAAGAGGTGATGGTTGTATCATAATGTGAGTGAAGTAAGCAAAACTAACCTAAATGTCAAAACTTCCGAGTGAATTTAAGGACTCTATGCTCGTCTTTGTTTTCTTCTATAGAAAGGGTCCACCCAGTCCGTGTCCTCCTTTACAGCCTTTTCCCATCGTTGTTTGAATATTTGAAGCTCAGTTGTCGATTGCCTCCTTATCTGCCATCAACACAACAACATATTACACCCACACCAAACACAACATGCACACGTTACAAAGATCAAAACCCCCATCACTGGTGCGTGAGTATACATATATATATATATATAGAGAGAGAGAGAGAGATCAAAATCTTCACATACAATGTTTAAGGTATGTAAATATATACGAGGATTTTAACTTATATAAATTATCCAAAGAAAGAACAGTCGAATGTAGAGAATTTAGAGGCTCACCTCAGCTCGCACATCAACACCATGTTTCTGAAGAAAAAAAAAGAGCAGATGAAACCATCAATATAGAAAAACATATGAAAACAAAGCTGGAATCCAAAAGATGAATCAACAAGGGATGGAGTTGAACACAGGGAGACAAAAAGAATTGCATATAAAAAAAAAAGGAAAGGAGGAATACCTTCATCAAATCCACATGATTCGTGGTCTGAAAAAAAAAGATTGTAATTTAATTAATACTGATAGAAGAAGGGGAAAGCAAACTAGTCAATTGCATACCAAATGTGTGATGAGCCAAAATATACACATAATTGAGGGTAAAAAATAATGAAGAAAATGGGCAACCTTTTTAGCAGAAGCCCCGCCTAACGTTTGTATTCCCTGATGGATAATAAATTCGCTATCAACAACTCCCACCTTCTTCGACCGGTCCCCCTTAAGAATATGCAAACAATAGTAGTCAAATTCAGGTTCTAAAAGATGGGCATAATGTGCATGTTTTGGTAACCTGACTTGAAACCGACAGCATAAGGTTTAATTATCGGATAGGTCCAAAACCAGGTTAAATTGGAACAATTCCCATTTTTAGTACTTCTTTTTACAAGATGAAATATAATATTTCAATATTATAATCACATATTTAAACTCACCTGTGCACAGTAGCCAAGTTTCATATCCATCCCCCATCCATGAACAAGGTCGTTCTGGGAGTAGACAAATTGAATTCTTATCAACCGATAAACAATTGTATAAAGATAGAAAACAAATCGTGGGAAATGGAAATTTAGAAAAGAATGTATCCAGATGCAAAGAAGCAATCGAATCAGTATGTTGAATATCAATTGCATGGAGAAATAGTTGAATAAATATGTGGTTTGAGCACCCTTTTAAGCTAGCTTTTGGGAGTGAGTTCTACCCAAGCCCATTTATCACAGTATTGGAGGGAGGGTGTTGAAGTAGTATATGTCTCACATAGATACTTATATGATAGGACTTTAATACCACATGGTCTCAAAGCAAATAAAGTTACAAACTTTATGCTAAACAGTACAAACCCGAATTTGAAACGAAACAGATCAAAATAAAGATGAACAAACCACAAGTAAAGGAAGCAAAGCACTATCACTCACTAATTAACCTGGTTCCACCACTGGTTGGATGGTGTACCTCCAGACGTGAATGGGGGATTGTTTATTCACCCAAGAGAAACCGAAAGAGGATTACAAACCTAATCACAAATTGTGATTCTAACTCTCAAAGCTATTAATGCTAATCCTCAAACTGTTTCTCTCTTAAATTTCATGATACAAAGATGGGGATGGAAGTGTTATATTTATACTAAAACCCTACACAAATCCCAACTTTATCTGAATGCTAAAAATATAAAAGAAAAACGGATTTATCAATTGGCACGGCTGTACTTGCTCAGGCTTTTGCTTTATGTTGTTTTGTATCACATTTTTCAACAATATATACATATATGTGGTTCGGGCGCCCTCCTCAGAGCTAGATGTTGGGAGTGAATTCTACGCAGATCCATTTTTTAGAAGAACCACAATGTAACATTTCCGTCTCTCCAAACTGATGAAAGAAATTTAATGCAACAATATCACTCGGTTTCCCTTGGCATCCGATGAGTACCAGGTCAGCCACAAAAAAAGATGGAATTCAGCAGTGGAAAAATATTGTAGTCCTTTAGAGTTCAGTGTATTGTCCTCACACAGCCCCAACCACTGCAATGTCTCCGACAGAAGACAAGCAACCAACTTTTTGCTTTTACAACGAGTCAATAATAAAGTAGGGGATTGTCATCCAAAAAATTAATAAACTACAAAGAAAAGATTCCTTCCTCTTTTAAGTAGAGAGGTGTTCCCTAGTCAGATGTTTGGAATTGGGGCAGTATAAGCGATCAAGGAGTAACTCATATCACGGGAGGAATCTTTGTGCAGTTTTTTGAATCTCTATATGTGCAATTCCCTCGACGCCCTCTCAAATAACCGAATCAAACTAGTTAATAAAACATATTCCTTTTTAATCAAATTTATAGCAGAAAATGCCTAAAGGCTCTTTTTTATTGGTTATAAAAACCAATTGGTCATATAAAGACAAAAGAAGAAAAATTAGTAGAAGAAGGAAATCAGTGACCCATGGCAATGAACTGGTGGTTGAACCAGCCTTGGGTTGGTCTCTTACCCACCACATGACAATTTATCATTGGTAAATAAAATTATTTTCATTCATTTAATTATTTTTAGTCATACTTCTTACTCAAATGTTTTTTATTCACTTAATTCTTTTATTCATTTAATTATTTTTACTGTTTAGAATTTGAAGCTTTAATATATTTTTTGTAATCTAGAGTAAAACACAAATTAATTATAGATGATAAAACATTAAATAATAACTTGTATAAAAATATGTAGTATTGGGTTGAGTAACTAATGAATCCAAATATCAGGTTGGGTTGGGGTGCAAAGTTGTGTATGTGGATGAGAGAGGAAGTCCTTTTTTTTAATAGTAAACTACGATTTTCATCGCTGTTGTTTGATGTCTATAACGATTTTCGTCCCTGGTCTCTAAAAACTGCTTTTTTCGTCCCTGTGCTTTGTACTTTGTTCATCCCTCATAGCTCATACTAACACTCTCAAATAGTCTGTTAAATTAAGTAAATTTTTGGTCTTTTTACTATTTTAACTTATTTTTTATCAAAAAAATTAATAACAATATTATATATTATTTACATTAAATTAATTTATATATCTATATTATATATATAGGGTTGGGTTCACGTGAGACCAGTCTGTTTTCGTGAGACCCGTGAGACCACATTTTTACACTTGAAACTTCACAGCAAAAACACTTTGAAGGTTTAAAAAAGTCGAACCTTCACTGCAAAAACACTGTGAAGGTTACCTTCACAACATTTTGTTGTGAAGTTTCAAGTGTAAAAAGCTGGTCTCACGAAAACAGGCTGGTCTCACGTGATCCCAAGTCTATATATATATATATATATAGGTTTTTTTAAGAAGTGGTAAGTATTTGAGAAGTAGAGAAGTGATCCTAGGCCTTCATCTGATCAAGATTTGCGGCTTTGACTGTGAAGCACCGGATAGTTCCTCGCATGCTATGTGGAAAATAGAGGGGTAGTTTCGTAACTTTTACAAATAGGCGGGGCAAAAAAAGTGCATATGTGAACCCGTGTGATTCACATATGAACTAATTAACTGATTCATATATGAACCCGTGTAATTCACATATAAACTATGGGTTCACATATGCACTTGGTTGCCGCCTATTTGTAAAAGTTACGAAACTACCCCTCTATTTTTCGCTTGACCAGTCAAAGCCACAATTTTTAACCAATCTTGACCGTATGAAGAGCCAGGATCACTTCTTTACTTCTCAAATACTTACCACTTCTCAAATGAACCTCTCCTTATGTATATAAGTACGTATATACATACACTCCAGACAATGACCGACTTCATTACCATCTCCGGCGAGTTCCCCCTCCTCCCCCTCGGCCGAAGATGGTAATGAAGTCTGTCATTGTCTGGAGTGTATGTATATACGTAGTTACGTACTTATATATATATATAAGGAGAGGTTATAAACTGCTCCAATTCCATGTCACACTAACAACCCTCCTTCTCCCCTCCATCTCCGGTGATAGATCCTCTTTGTAGGTTGATAGCAGAAACATAGGAGGAGAGGGGATTCCATGAAAAAAGGGGAAAATGGAATTATGCAAATGAAAGAATGGTGATTCCATGTCACACTAGCAACCCCCCCCCCCCCCCACCCTTTCTTCGGTGGCACACCGACACCCCGTTCCCTTTTGCAAACCACCGGTGAGAAATCCACCATGACGAGAACCTAAATCCTCCAATAAACAAGGATCAATTCCTCAGATAAAAACAAAGACCAAAAACCAAATCAAATTGGGTTTAAATAATTTGCAGGTATATACCTTTAATGCCAAGGAAAAGGGAGCCCTTGATGCTTTTCTTTTTTCCTCTTTTTCCATAAGGTTTTCATTTTCATTGAAGCAAGTTAATTATCAATTGTGATTGTAGGAAACTGAAGAAAATAAACTCCATCTTCAACCCATAAAAACCCACCACCACCGGAGCTCACCCTCACTGGTACCACCAAACCTCACCTTCTCTGGCTTTGCCCCACCTATCTTTGAACGTCCGTGTCCTCTTCTTCATCTAAGCACCATTGATCTGGTTTTCTACTTGGTGAACTAACAGACGAAAAACAAAGGTTGATTCTTCACTACTTTTTGTATGCGTTTTAGATCAATATAATCTATCGATTTTCGTTTTCGATTCATAGATGGGTTTATGATTTTGGTTTTCCAAATATTATCATATGATTAAATTTGTTGATTGGTTTCTCGATTTTGGTTTGAATCATCACATCGATTGATCTATACACATAAGGGTGTGTGTGTTATACACAGTCACACCTATATTAGGTATGTTTACCCGTATGGGAAAGGGATGTTGGAGATAGAGACGATTAATTTCTAAAATTTAGAGGCCACCATGGAGAAGATGAACCATAGGTTATGTAGATGAAAGATCGATGGGTTTTCTTGACTTTTTGGTTCACAAGAATCGCGAAGGGAGGGGTTGAAGAAAGGTAACTCACAGATCTTGAATACAATCAACGTTACTACATAGCGATTTGTTCAAATCGAAGCCAACTCAGTGTTGAGGGCTCAGGTAAGTGAGCTAAGCCAAAGACTAGATTCTCTTAATGAAATCATCATTTACATCAACGCAAATACCAATTGTACAACCAATCAATGCACGAATGAGTTTGATTTCGTGGAGAATTGGGAGGCTCACTGGAGATGGGTTAAAGGAAGGGGAGGAAGATGGGTGCAGGGTGGAGGGTCATGGTGGGATTTGTGGGAAGAGGGAAGAGTGCGTAGGGGTATAATATAATAGGCGAGGGATCGTGTGAAAGGAGAGTTAAGGTGAAAAGCGTAAGAAGAAATCTAGACCCTTGATCACTTATAATCTCTTACCCACCCATGAATTCCGCTTCTCACGGGAATTGATCCGGTGCATCTCATTGCATCTCATCCTAAGGTGCATCCAGTGGAGGAGATCCTTTCTTACGTTTCTCACCGTAACCTTCCTTCTCACCAGAACCCAACCCTAATATAATAACATCTATAATATAAAAATTATTTAATAAAAAAGGTAGAAAAAACAAAAAAAGAGACAGAGACAAAAATACCCTTCATTTAACTTACTTTTTTTACGAAGTTAGTCTGAGGGACAAAAAACAAAAGAAAATGCAAACCACAGGGACGAAAAAAGCAACTTTAAACCACAGGGATGAAAATGTTACAAACACCAAACCACAGGGACGAAAATCGTAGTTTACTCTTTTTTGTGAAAGAATGGATTAGGTTGGATTGATGATAAACATAGTCCAAATAACCTGACACTGGCAGAGTTGGTCCTTTCTAGATTAAAAAAATGTGAAGTAATCATAATTATTTATCATATTTTCCAGTTGAGTGATACCAATCATGCCTGAAACAAGGATCTACAGGAGTGCTTAGTTAACATACTACAAAAGGGAGACTGCCACAAACAGTGGAGGAAAAAAATTGTGGGCAAGCTACTGAATAATTCAGATGCTGCTAATCTGAAACATCAAAAACAATGGGTGCAACAAAAGTTGGTGAAGCATAGTGCCTAGTTCTCCTTTATTGGTAAAGAGTAATATGTTCAATGAAATATCAAATACATTGTCAAATGATCGATGGATATCTTAAAAGTTTATCACACAAGTTACCTGAATAAGATGCCAGGCACAATGCCACGCAGCTCTGGAGAAAACTGGAGCCATTCCTTCTACAAATCTGCAAATTTCAAGAACCATATAAATACATTTGAACTAAATTATCTTACAGACATGCAATACTAAGGTTAGCATACGGAGATCTTTTATGCATCTTTGTAAATGAATTCATATATTTCCTCCCATTGAGGCATAAAGCTAACTGCATGGCAAGACTTGGTTGCTTAAACCAATTCCTGTTAACCAAGTTTACATGGCTAGTGGCCAAATGGTCAATGAACCAGCGACACCGGGTTACCAGTAGAGCCCAACCTCCTTGGAGGTCAAGGGTTCAAGTCTCACCAAAGGTGAGGAGTGCGTGTGTGTGTGTGCTTTGTTGTATATAGATATTATATACTTCAAAAGTTCGCATAGCTAGTATGTGTATGCCACCTTACCCAGCACATGGTGGCCCATCACTGTCATCTGAACATTTCACACTGCCTCTGCTGTCATACACTCTCCTGTGAAACTTATTCATTCTCTTGCGAATTGTGATCCGATGATGTATATCAGTGGAATTTGGATCTAAAGCTGGCTGTGATATCTCCAGCCCTTCTGCTTTAACAATATCCAAGTAGCTGCAAATATGAAAAACTAAAAATGACCACTCCATTGAGGAAGCCAATGACAAGAAACCTGAACTAAATTATTAGTCCTTCAAATATTATCAGGTCACAGTAATGGGTTCTCTACTTGGTAGCTTCAGTAACATTGGACTGTCTGAGAAACGAAGGATTATATGCATATTTTCATCAATGATTGACTAGGAAGGGAATTATGCAGCAACATGTCCATTCACATAGACAACAAAACAGAATGGCATCATCAAACAGTAAATATTTGGATGAACAAAAGGCAAATATTCAGAATCAGATTCTAATATATGTTGCACAAGCTTTTAATTCTTGCGAGTGGCTTCAAGCTTTCAATTGCATGGTGAAAGTGTAGTACAGATGGTTCTTATTCATGAAAAAAAATGCTTTTTCAATCTTAGTCCACCAAGACTGCCTTTCACTACAAGCATCTTATGTTCAGGAAAGGTCATAGGTTTGGAGCAAGCGCCTTTTACCACACTTTTTGCTCCTAAGAAGGTGAAAAGCAATACTCCAACAGATGAGTGTATGTGAGAACATAATGTTACATATAATAAAGTAGATAAAGACGATGTCACAGGTCAACCTACCTTCTCGGATTAAAGTGCTGCACTCCTAGGTCTTCATCCCAGAGGAATATATAGTCATAAATCGACACAGCAGCAGGATGCAGAAATCGTTTTGCAAACCACCTAAGATATTAATAAATATTGTAATTAGACAATTATTGCTAACAACTAGATAATTGTTACTCAAGTCATTTTCTCTTTCTACCTAAACTTCTGTAATATAAGTTCCATATTGGGCCAAGCCAAAGCCTTCATAAACAAAGACAGAAAATAGGTTAAAGTTGATATGCTTTGCCCTGCCATAGTCGATTTTCCCAGATAGTCTTTACTCTGGGGATACCAGTGGTTGATTTTTTTGCTCTTTAAGATGGAACATGCATACCAAAAACTTAAGGCTGTACATTACAAAACAATCAATTCAAATAGCATATATTTCATTAGCTTTCCCTAGGAATTGTATCCTTGAACCATTTTCAGATGTTTTCCTCTTGATCTTCCATAGGAACTTATGTTATGGGAAAACAAGATAAGCAAAATAGTGCTGTCCATACCGAAAAGAATTCAAGTGTGACCTTACCACTTTGTTTGGTTCTGAGCTACAATATGTATGACCTTGTTATTCCACTCAAGATCCCGCCAGCCATCGACCTTTCCATCGTAATGGAATAAGATCACAGTAAAATTTTCTGTAAGAAACTGAAAAGACTGGTCTTAGCCCAACATAATTTACACATCAAAACATCATGAGATATACTGAAAATACTGAATATAAATGGCAATCCATTGTTATACCTTTTGAACAATGGTATTAACATTACGCTTTTGTTTGAGACCCACTGGAATTGCCAGCAAATTATGTGTACTGGAAGCATCTCCCTTCTATACATAACAGTTGGCCCATTAAACAAGTCGATGACCATGCACACAAACAATGTTTTGCAAAACAAGATAACCAGAAGAAATATAAATAAAAGAAAAAGATAAGTTTTAGAAATAACAATTCCACCAGATGCAACCTCAATCAATGAAGATTTGTGATGATCAGTATTGCTGGTTACTGAAACTAGAATATTTACATTTATGACCAAAATTTGTACCAAGGTTGTGTCTAACCTTCGATTTCAAACTACTTGTCGACCATAAAGGCTTTAATTCCAAGTCAGATTTAGCTTCAATAATACCACGAGGTAACCCCTTCAAACTTGTGGAAGCTAACACATAATCCTAGAGAATAGCAGTGAAAGCACATTAGTTTCATGCTATAACAAACCCCAAACATGAACAAAATTTAGGTCACAACTTGCACCGTGACAAAGAGAGTAGTAAAGAAGAATAGGATGCTAATAATTTCAATGCTTTTTCAAAATCTACCTTTGACGTGTAGAGTGGATCAAATCTTGAATCCAGCTGATGAGACAAATCAGTAAAACATTCATATTAGTGAAGTAACGTAAATAGGAAGATTGAAATTTCAAAAACATCTTAACCCATGCTTTAGCAAACCTCCTAATAAGTTTCCGGATAAGGTACTATAGCTCTATAAGACGGGAACAAATTTTTACCACACATTTTAAACAGTGATTCATCAAGGAAGAAATGGAAAAGCATCTAGAACAAGAGCTAGTCACATGAAATATGCAACACTTCCTAAAAGCTACAAAATGGCACCAATAATGCTTATGGTAGTTGTCACGGACATAGATCTCCTTTATTAACGAATACGAGTTCGGAAATATCCAGGGAAATACAACCTTTTTGGTTTTGAATATTGACAATTGAAGATTCACAAATGCCAAAGTTTCCTATCTTGGCAATAGCTAAAAACAATTGGTGCAGAAGAAGCATCGAATTATCAGTAAACTGACAGTTAATTAAAGACGTGCAAGATTCATTATCCTTATCTACTCTTATTATCCTCAATAATCTGATCAATTGCAATTTTTACCTCTGTTTCCAGGTACTGATAATTTGTGGTTCTATATACAATATACAGCATTATGATACAAGCAGCTCCCATGAATGGTTTCATTTTGACTCCATAACGTCCCTACATGTATAGAACTTACATCATTAGGATTATTCAAAGCTTTCTCAATAATGTAAACTAAGAGCAAATGTCTCAGAATCAAACTCTACAACCACATAAACTTACCCAATCAAAATGGAGTCGTCTTTTCCTCAATAGATTCCTCCATGATTTTGCTTCCCTCATCAACAGCACTAGTTTATATATACTTTCATACCAAAATGCAGCTGTTAGAATGAAGAACATATCAGTACTAGAGGACAAACAAGCAAATTATGATCATAGAAAACGGATACAAGCTAGCTGGTCCACCAAGACTTGAATATAAATTCACACCAGTAATAATAACCAGTAGAACAAACTGTATTGTCGTAGAAAGCCTTTTTCTACATGTTCTATTAATAGCAAATAATGCATTTAATAAAAGCTGGTTCGACACAATCTAACATAGAGATTGTCAAGGAAAACCCCACCCTCAAATACCCCAAAACACATTTCCCAGCATGAATTAACTTAACTGGTTTCAGTGAATAACCATAAGATGTAGATATCATACAAAGCCTAAGCTATGCTAAAGATTTTATAATAATTTCTTACGTTATCTTACACTAGAAAACTGCAGATAATTTTCACCAAATCAAAGCAGCCATATATGTTCCAATCGCTGCTGAACCATTATCTTGAGCAATGATAATCGAAGTTATGCTCAGTCATTCAACTCTGGAATGCTCTTTCAACCATGCTTCCTCGTACTTCACTCAGTGCATGTATGGTGATTCAGAATTGGAAGATGGAAGATAGCTTTAAGAACAAATATAAGGTCCAATAGATTAGACTTCCTTGTTAGCCAGCAGCGTATTCAAATTGGCTGTCTTTAACAGGTCCCTCAAATTTAAGGATTTTGTGGATCACATAGAAGCTCATGACAAAAACCATAGTTAACAGTTACACATAACATGCTTAATAAGCAAGCAGGTTATTGCAATTTAAGTGTAGCAGTGAAATAAACTTTTCTCCAAATTTATGCTAATAGAATGTTGTTGAAATTTAAATTCTTTAAGTCCTCCTACAAGCAACCCAATTACCATGAATTTTGAACAAACTCACAAAAGTAATGTAAAACAGCAAGATGCAAATACCATCCTTAACTAGCTTAGGGTTTGTATGATGCAGATATATTAAGCTACCAATTTGAGTGCTCAGCCAGCTTTTTTATAGTTTTTCATTTATCTTCTTCAAATATACTTGGCTGTTTACATAAAGATGTAATTGGCTAAACATATCTTACGAAAGTGCAATACATATTTGAAGGATTCGATATGAGTTGCAGCAAGTGCTGACTCGGCTATACAGTATTGCAGGTTTGACTCCAAACACCTAACCAAATAATGTTAACTGTTTGTATCCTAAACAACCAATTCTAGCAAGACCTTCAACTTCAAAGCATCATCTCTTACTTGGATCAACATGATAACAATTTGCAGCTGCTACAAGCATCTGCTATTATTATGCCTTTTAATACAGTACCTCCACTCCTTTTTTTTTTTTTTTTGGGGGGGGGGGGGGGAGGCTAACTGAAAAATAAGCCCACCCTGTTTGGAAGTTTCAACTACAATCTAAGAAATCGCAACTTTGACATCATAACTCAATCTTCAATCCTTACATTTACTAATCTAGACAACAACAGCTCTGTAACCATCAGGATTTTAATCAACTGCAAATGCGCGTGCAAACTATGAATTGTATCGACAAGTGACAAATCTAAGATGCAAACTCTGCGTGTGCGGGGGGTGTGTGTGTGTCAGAGAGAGAGAATTACTTAAACCTCATGACCTAAAATACATCAAAACACACAGAGATTTTAGTAAGGGAAAAGAAAACAAAACCTCTTCCATAGAGAGAGAAAGAAGTGTCTCGGTTTTTTCTTGAGATCTTCTGTTGTTGCTTCTCTAAATCACCAAAAACAAAAAACAAAATAACAGCAAGCACACATATACATGCAAACACAGACACGCGAAACCAGTGGAGTGATGATTAATGACTGTGTGTTCGGATTCTGAAAATTTTCAAGTAGAGATGAGAGTGATAATAGTAGACATAAAATCAATAGATCCTACAGCGACTCTCTGAGATTTATCGATTATACATTTTCAATCAGAGATCGGAAAAATGATAAGAGAAGAAACACCGACCTGAAAGATTTTCAGATGAATCAGCAGAGAATAGTTGGATTACATGAAGATTTTTCCGGCCGGCGAGGAAGATATCAACTCCGATTAAAATCCTATTTTGGTGCGAGACTGTGTATATATTTATCGAACAAAATTAGCCGCGGGTATTGCTTTGACTGTTTGCTAGTTTCTCACTTTTTAGAGAGAGAAACAGAGTGTTAGAGAGAGAGTAAAGAGTGTCGGAAATTGCCACGTTAAAAGTGAGAAATTTTTGTACATTTTGTATGCATGCTGTTGCTGTTGCTGTTGCTGTTGCGCTCCCAAATCTATATAATAGTAGAAATAACCCAACAAATTTCTCATTTTAAATAGTTCAGGGCTCTTTACTTAAATGCTTATTCGGTAAATGTTTATTGATATAAGTTAACATTATAATTTATTTTGATGTGTAAGATTTTAATATATCAAAATGTATTGAATGCAATAATTTACCTGGTAAGCGCTTACGTGGGTAAAAGTCGTCATCTTCACTTACCCGGTAAAACTCTTCATCCTTCTCATCACTCTTATCCGATAAGATTCTTGGCCTTTGTCATGTTAATCCGACGAGAAAATTTATCCGTTAAACACTTACCAGATAAGCGTTTAGTAAACGGCCCATTAACTTTTAAATTACTTTTAATGGAAAACTCATTAAATATTTCTATTTTAAATAATTGAGTTTCTTTGAATAGAAAACCATTAAATTTTATATTTTTAAATGTTTTTTTATTTAAAAAGAGAAAGTTTAATGATTTTGTAATAAAAAAAATAGTTCAGAAATTTGATCATTCAAAATGAAAAAGTTTATTAGTTTTTTTTTAAAAACAATTAATAATATAGAGTACAATAAACTACTTTAATTCATATTCTGTCTGATTTTAATATGTGTATAAAAAATATTTATGAACTTAAAATATAAAAAATTGTAGATTTGTTTGTATTTTTGTTAAAAATAAAAGATGGAGTTGGACAAATATAATGCTGGATGATTCAGTTCAATATGTTTTTAATGGAGTTGTGAGTTATTAGGGTATGAAGTAAATCTCACATGGGTTGGTTTTGCCACTTAAAGTAACCGTACAAACTTCAATGAATCATAGTATCTATCATTAATTACAACATAGTTATATTATATATATATATATATATATATATCTATATATTTTATCTATATAGGGGTTGGTTCAAATATTAACCAAGATTATTATGTTAACTTTATTAAACAATTTTGGCTATTGATTCTTACAATAAACGGTTATGATTAATCATGATAAAAAATTAGTTTTTTAAATTTACATTTCAAAAAACATATGTGAACAAAGGAGAAAAGGGTATTTAGGTAAAAGAAATTTATGTAACTCCCATATCATTAATTGGGAGTTACAAAATCAAAAAATCACATTATTTTTGTTAATGTAAGAACCATATGAACACACACACACATATATATGAACCATTGTGTAAAATACGAACAAAAATTGACATATATATAAAATTGGACTGCATAGCATTTATGAACATAATAAGAATACATGTTACACGAAATGAAATAAATAAAAAAACAGGTATGAATACAATATGAATAACTCGTGAATAATAGTTCCTTCATTGTGAAGACATTCAGAAGCGAGCCAGTGTTGAGATATGCAGCTAGTGTACATATGAACACAATATGAACACTTGTGAACAATAGTATCATAAAAATATCGTATAAATAGTATGAACATAGTATGAACGAGTGATGAACATGAACAAGCCACATAGTGAGAGAATATCGTAGAAATAGTATGAACACATAACATGTATGCTACGAACACGTGGTGCAATTAAAGAAAAAAACTATCAATACAAGATGAATTATAAAAAACACAACACATCGTAATGAACATAATTTCGATTAAAGCGAATCTAATAAAAATATTAATCTATTACCAAGACATTCGCTTTGGTTAATTTCTTCACTTCCCGAACTCGAACTTCGATTGTCATCATAAACCATTTTAATCTTCTCATTGTTGTCGATTTCTTTTTCATTGCGTTTATCCATATTAGCTTAATCGATACCGAAAACTTTACTATAGTGTTTCCTATGCGAATTAAAAACTCATAAAACAATGAACATGGAAGATCAAGATTAATATATATATATATATATATATATATATTAATATTATAAATGCATATATTTTTGGGATTTGATTATTTGTAACTCCCCATTAATTGTTTGGGAGTTACATATCAAATCAATTTACTGAAATACTTTTGTAATTAACTTGTGAACATGACATAAACCTACTAGAAGAATGGAATTTGATTGGTTGACATGGTTTGCAAAGTTCACACAAAATTGTTGATTAACATTTGATCTTCTCTCTCTCTCTCTCTCTCTTTATATATATATATATATATATATATATATATCTTTAATTCTACATCTTTAAATATGTTTTTAAAATATAATATTGAATAAAAGAAAATCATATTTACTATAAGTAGATGTTAAAATGATTCTTAGCAACTAATTTTCTCTTCATACAAATCAATATTTAGGCTTAGGGGTTGGTTAGCAGTTGTTGAATGGTTTGGTGCTGAATGATTAGGTGGTCGGAATTATTAAGATGCTCTCATAATATAGTGTTAAATGAAATATAAGTGTTCGGTAATTGTTTACAATGGAATTACGGTGTTGAATAGTTAAGGGAGACCCATGATACAAAATGATTCAGAAGGTTTTAGAACCATTAAGAGGCAGACTTTTTTTTGTCAAACAAGATTCACTTCTTAAAGATTCAAAGGTTGTCTCTTGATGGAACTATTAAGAGGTAAACAAACAACCCCTTAGACAATGTTTGGTAAAATAGTTGATAAGCTATATGTTAGTTGATAAATTAGCTGATGGTTAATAAGATAGCAGGTAGCTGATGAACAAATCATGTTTGTAAAAACTAGTTGATTAACTAAATGAAAAATGTAAATTGACCAAAAAGGAATCTTGAAAATTTAGTAAATTACAACATTTCATAATATAATTCAAAGAAATCCCAAAATAATATAATATGTTAATTAATACAAATAAAATAATAAAAAAAATTAAATAACATAACATAATATGGTAATTAAAAGAA